TGGTTTAATCCTGGAGCTGATATTATCCGCTAGTCCCGCAGTATGTTCAGTAAGCCTTAAACACTGTGTACATTTCACAGTTCATAATAAAGCATATCAGTTATATTTAACTAAAATAAAATATTCTTCTGTGTTTTAGCCATGTCCTACATTTAAAATCATTGACAACAATGTAGAAGAAAATGTCACTAAAAGCGTACAGAATGTCAAATGTATAAAGCATTTTCTTGCTCTTTTTGGGCAAAACTACCAGGCTCTGAGCATAAGACCTGGACATGGTAAGACACTAATGGCACATTTCCACTGCAGCGGGGATAGCCCCTTTTAAGCGTCCCTAAGCATCCTCGCTCAGGCCTCGGGCTGCCTCGCTGGCCGTCCGAGGCCGTGTCGCATTTCCATTACAGTTTAGGACCTGGGGTAGCAACGCAGTGTAGGCGGGACGATCTGCTTTTTTTTGGCCAATGAGATATAGGAACGTCGTCACCTCCTCGGTCGACCACGGTGTGCTTTTCTTTGACGTTGCCATTTTTGTAGCTCCTCCGTTTACAAAAATGCTTCTAGATATATATGCGACGCTAGGGATGATCTCGCGCGCGATCTTGTGACGATTCTCTCTGACCAATCAGCAGTCGAGAGTGTTGACGTCACTAGTTCAGCCCTGGCCCTGGCCTGATAGAACCACGATTTTATGGGGCCGGAAAAAGAGGGAAAAAGTACCCACTAGCCGGTGCTACGCTATATGGAAAGGCCATCAAAAACTGGCCTGGCCGCTTGAAGACGATTTTAAGGACGCTTAAACGGGGCAACCCGCTGCAGAGGAAATGCGCCATTAGTCCTAACTCAAACATATTAGAAGCTGCTTTAAGAATGTGTGACAGAAAGCTCAGCACACAAGCTCAGGACACATCTCTCAATAGTTCTCTCTCCAAACTGCTTCTCATGATGATGAGATCAGAAAAGAGATGACAACAACATGGATGCAATCGACACCACTAATCCATCCAGCATTACAACAGTGACGCAGCAACACACTTCTTGCCCTGAGTCACAGAGCGGTTAATTTCATGGTTACAAAACTTTAATCGGATGATGACCAGCTACTGCATCTTCTTTAAAAAAACAACAATTTATAAGCTAACTTTGCTTTTAAAATATCTTTGAAGAAATTGCCGATTGGTTACATCATGATATCACAGTTCCCTGCCATTTGCCAGGCAATAGCAACACAAAGGTGATCTCTGTCTTACTGTTTCTGTGGGGTAGATGGTCAATTAAATTGTTGTTTTATTAAGGCAGTGAGAAATAGTTGGAATTATATTTATAAATAATTGTCTATTTAAGTATGTATGATTGTTATAAACTTAGTCTGAACTTTCACCTAGTTTTTGCTGAAGACCTGACATTAGCAACTTCGTTTGATAATAAGGAAAATAATTCCACCTATTACCTCCATGTAGAAATAATATTTCTCACCCAGGGTGTTTTAATCTTTCTCAAATTGGTATCAGCTGTTTTTCATAGACTGTAACAAATGCCCCTTTAATCCAAGAGCATGTGGTCTGACTTAAAACTTTTGATCTGTAGGATTATTGCTGTTTTCCCAGCTCTTTCTCTCGATTTCTCTCACTGGAGTGGAGCTCACATACAGACTCCTAGATCGGTTTTCCCATCCTCTTCAGCTCCCTGATCTCATCCCTGTTAACTCCCACGTCCTCTGCATCGGTCATATAGCCTGTAGGATCAGCAATTCTTCTCACTTGGTTGTGAGTGTGTGTATGTCATCTCAAAACATACCTGACTACAATGCATTTTGAGGATAGTGCTCTGGATTATTTGTAAGAGGTGTGGATGTTTCCTCAATCTATAGGTGAGTTTTCCCAGTTGATTAATTCCTCTTTAAGCTTGAACTGAATTTAAAGTTTTAGAAGCAAGAAACCATTTACCGTAATTCTGTCCTCCTGTAGGTTTTTTCACCCTGCCTATTATTTCAGTTGTAGTTGTTGTTGCCTTGCTATATGAGCTCTTTTATGAATACCTTTGATGCTCTTTTTCTTTTTATGCAATTTGTTAAGATGTAATTGTTAAATTGATGATGTTATCAGTTATGGTGGGCTGTTATACCTGGCTGTCCCGACCCCAGAGGAAGGGCAGATACTCATAGATTCTTAGTAAGGCCAGTGGTCACAGTGATAAACAGCTTGATTGGCCTTTGACGGGAAACAAAGCTTGGCTATAATACTCCGAGAGTAGGAGGGGAAGTGATAAAGAAAGCACATTGAGTTCAGAGCATGATGGAAACAAAACGCGTTTTCCTTCAAATGCTTCCATGAATTATAGACTTATGTCATTAGGTCATGGCTCATTGTTCCCTTTTTCCTCTGTGTCGGTGTGTTGAATAAGAGGACAGAAAGGGAAAGGATAATATGTCTACTCTCAGCTGTACTGAAGATATTTATTTGTATACTTTTACCTCATACATGTTAAGTGTCTAGTGCTACAAGAGGCTCAGGCTCACATGTGAAATGTGTACAGATAATATTTTTAGCAAAACAAGATTGAGACACTTTGTTTAACATCCCTCATACATGCATTGGACTTGAAGCATGACTGTCTGCTTATGCTACTGTTGAGCCTTAATACATGACTCTTTTGACTAAGTTAAACTATCAGTAATATCATAATGTGACTCTTTTATATCAGCCGTCCTTCACCTGGAGGTTTGGTGCTACTGTAATCATTCAGAATGTAATTATTTAGAAAAAATAAAGAACAAAGACAAATGTTAATTGTTTCCCTAATCTCACTGCTGTTGAATCACTGGCAACGGTCTATTTGCAAATTCAAATGAATTTATGACGGTTGGTTGAAAGCAGTTGATGATTTGGAGTAAGGCAGTTCATAGTACAGTCAACTCAATTAATCATTAATTGTGTCAACAGGTAGTCATATCATAATACATGTGTGATTGGCCTGTATAAAAGCTGTGCTTAATAATAGAATCACATCTGCTCTTAAACTCATAGCTGTTCATGTTTCTAACTCTCCGTTGTTGTTTGATAAACATGTACTCGGTGGATATTATATCTGACAACTTACAATTCCTTTTCAGGAACTCTGATGATCGTCATGTTTAATCTTGTAGTTTGAAAAAGAACAACAGCTGCGTCATGTTTCTTCTCTCCAAAGCCAGCTTTGCTTATTAATACAATAGCAGACTAATCAAATGAGAGACAACAATGTGGCTTTAGGAAGGGCTGGAGAACTCTATAAATATCTGTGAAGTCATGCTGACTCTTAGAGGCCCTGTGAGGGTCCTCTATATTCCAGTAAATACAGTGGTTTCTCCTGTCATCCTTATGTATCATATTATGACATTGGCATTGGAAAAGGACAGAAACAACAAGCCTTGTGAGTGTATTTGAGTCAGGAGGAATCACCTGACACTTCTTCCATATACTGCAGCTATTTCGGTATGATGCCGTGATTATTTGTTTAAGGCATTGCTAATTATTAAGCGCAAGTAATTACTGGCAATAAAACATAAAACAAACTGGTCCTGAGCGGAACAGGATTATCATCAACACAAGTCTTCAGGAGACGTTGGATACTGTACAGGGAGATATAAATCTAAATTTGACCCTTTTTATGCGAGTAGGATAATATTATGTCTAAAAATTGCATTTGTATACATAGACTTGGTGTTGGTACCTGAACTTCCCTGTAGGTTATTTAATGATGCTGATAGTTTTCAGATTTAATTCCAGACTGTTTTCCCATTTCTATTTTAAGGGCTCAATATAAAATGCAAAGCATATCTATGATTCAGTTTAGCAAAGGCTAATCCAGTATATAGCAATTTTCAGTGCTAACTGAGCTAACAGTGCAAAGGTCGGCAAAAGTCCTGAAAAAGCCACTAGCGTAGGGAGAACCGGATAGTGGCAGTTACATTTCTGCAACAAAGCCACATAGGTCGGGACACATTATCAGCTTTATCTGCTGTCGGAGCCCGCGAAGAAGAGCAGCAATTAGCTAACCAATGGGAAACACACAGGGACTCGCATGCCCTTACATGATGCATGTACAGCCAAGCTTGTCTATCAAACCAAGACACAGAGAAGCTCAGATTGTTTCACAAACTGTGAGTTTGACTTCATTCTCTGCAGAGGATCACTTTCTCCATTCTAAACATAGCGAATAGTTGTTTGCTATAATAATATTCTGAATGACAAGAACCTTTTTTTCTTCAATTTTTTTCAAATACAAAATCTTGCTGCTACCTGTAGGTACAACCAAATGATGTTCAGTTGTTTGTCAATTGCATACATGAAATGCTCTTCAAAACAGTAAACCAGAGAGCACCTTGGAAGGTGCATTGGATTAGCTGGTAATTGTTCTGCAGATGCTCAATACACATTAACCATCATTGTTTTTCCCCTCTGGATGATATGTTGCTGTTTTGGGAATGCCTTTCTTCCCAGCGTATCACAGTTAATTTAGAATAAAGACCTGAAGTTTTGGAAAGCTGTGTTTGTAATGTATAATTGTGTTTTTTTCCCCCACAGGGTTCCAGGTTGCTGTGTTGAGAGAGCAAGCTAACTGCGGGAAGGAGAACCGCCTGGGGCATCGTGTCCCTGGCTTTCTAGGTAGGGACCAACTGCAAACCTGTTTTTATTACGCTTGGAGTTACAGCCTTGAAGAGTAAACGATCCTTAGTGTCTAAATTAGACACATTGTTGAAAGGAACACGTGCAACATCTTTGATGCGACTCAGTCGTACATCCATTAACTTGATCCAAATATTCCTTAAAATCTTGTTTTGGGCTCTTACCGGGCTAGTATTGTTATTCATAGCTGTTGTAGTGATCTGCTATTATTTGTAGACACATCATCACAGAACCTTCAAACAGACACCAGACATAAAGGCTGAGACTCTCCTGGAGCTGATAGCACTGCAAAAATGCTATAAAACTTTGAGAAGTGACTTTGGCACCATCTAATAGCAAACAACATGTTTTACTCCCCATGAGTACATTTTAAAGACAGATTAAAAATCCGAAAACCTCCTCAAAACATAAAACCCTTTCAGCAAACAAACATCCACTGTTGACACACACGGGTTTCGGAATAATAAATACAATTTAATACTGCACTATAATTAGAGGATATCATTTCACTGGAGGAAATGTGCTTATTGCAACAGTATAAATATAATCATTGTGCTACATCCCTTAGGTTTGCCCATTAAGAGACAGTTCTATTGCATGTGAGGGGTCATTCAAGGCTTTTTGGATATACGATTGGTAAGGGCTAGGGAAAGATGTGTCTTATTTGTTTTAACAATTGTATTTATTTATTTTTTCTTTATCTGATGTACATTATAATTGCAATTTTGTATAGCCGTGTTGTGCGACAGTACCCTATCCTGACACTTTTGCACAAATTCCCCTAAATGAAAGTATAATTTTATCTCCAACGTGAGTTAAAGTGTAACATATTACTACCTAAGCCATAAACAGGGTTAACAAGTCCGGCTCCTTTACCATTAAGTTTAAACTCTGGCCTCCTGTCTGTTCGGAGCCTGTCATTATTGGACACTGAATGATTTCTAAGGTTACTACCCTCTGTCTTCTATGTAATGATTCCAACTTGACAGACTATGTAACACTTTTTGGTGACAGTAACCACAAGCTTGGTACTTTTTAAACCCTTTTTGAGTGCTATCTGTTACTCACCATGGCAGGACAACCATCTTGTAAAAGAGTGTGTGCACGATGCACTGGTGTCGGCATTTCCAGTCATAGCAGGTTTTGGGGAGGGATTGTTCTCGTTGCACTGCACCCTCTGCATAGCGCCGGCCAGGGGGCTGCTATTGTAAAATACTAGGAAGGGCTTGGTCCTAAGCAAAATATCCCGCTGTATGCCAGGGAAAAAGTCCACCCGGGTGCAGCTGGTAGATAAAATCAGAGTGTGGGGGGCAGTGATACAGGATCATTGGGGGCTGTAGCAGGGTGGCCCTATGGTTTTTGTATCATTCTTTTTTATTTATTTGGTGTACTAGCCTTTACACCAAAGAACACAGAGCACAGAGAATGGCCATTGTTTTTCAATGGAGAATGTAGCTATACTTTCTTAAACATGTATTGGGGAAAATGGTACTTACTGCCAGCATTTCTTGTTCAGTTGTACTGTAAAGCCAGAGCACTAAAGCAGACAGACTTGTAGAATATATTATAATATAATAATTTGGATGTAGGGCTGTCTCAATATACTACACAATTATCATGGCCAACATTTCTCACAATACCAATATTTTTACAATATTTACAGAATACTTAAAGAACTTAAATTCATAAAAAATACATATTAGTTACCGTTATATTTTACTTTGTTTGATGTGCAATTTTTCGCGTTTGGCACATTTAAACAAATGTTCTGTATGTGTGTGAGGCGTTCGGTGAGAGAGACAAAACGGAAAGAAAAAGGAATTGATTAAAGAGGCTTTTATTTTTAACACACTTTTATAATACATGAAGGATTAACATGATAACAGTATTTTGTTTTTAAACTACTACTGTTATGGTCAATTCCGGCATATTGTAACACTGCCTATTTGGAAGTAACCAGTCAATAGTCAAAGAGAATATGTAAAAGGAATGAGACCTTTTGGTTTCTATTCATAGCATGTATGTTTGTATGATGTTTGTTGCTGAAAACTTGAACTCTATTCAAATCACTAGTACATTTATTTGGACTATTGGATCAGAATTCATCCAAAAAGCTACAGCAATATTTACAAGATCACACAATCACGCTATCAACTCGACCATAACACATTTGAATACAGTAAATAGTATTCCTGGTAATAAATTAAGTTTGAAAAGAATGAAGAACAGTACCACCTGAAAGGTAGTGCACGCATGTGTGGTGTAGTTGAGCCTTGCCCTAGGTCAGGGGGGTCAAACTCAAATACACAGTGGGCCAAAATAAAAAAATGGGTACTAGTAGAGGGCCGGACTGGTTCAATGTTTATTGCAGAACTTATTGAAATGAACTTATTGCACATATTAAACCTGGAACTAACAAAGCTTAAATGATTGCATGTAAAAACAACATTAAACATTAAATAATCAGTCGCATTAATTTCTTATGGCTCTATCTGCAGCTTTTCCGGAGTCATTTCTTATGATTACATTTCTCCACAGGCCAAAAACAGCTTAAAAAAAAACTATTTCCCTCAAATAAAAAACCAAACATGCCCTGTTGTCTTAAGAAAAAAAGTGAAACATCCATTGAAACTCAGTGTGCTGCTCTGTGATGCTAGTTCAAGCCAGATACTTGGCATCTCATTTCGGGTGCAAGTTCATCAAGGTTTGGGCTCAGGTTCTGAGCGGAGGAAACCCTCAGGGTGTGCGTGCAATATACCGGCGGGCCAGAGCTAATAGTAATAAAAAATTATCCTGCGGGCCGAAATTAAATCCACCACGGGCCGGATTTGGCACCCGGGCCTTGAGTTTGACACATGTGCCCTAGGTCAACAAACACAGACAGAGAAGAGAGACAGACAGACAGACAGGAGAGGCCACTATAAATAACACCAAAACCAAACTATCTGTACTGTACTTATAAAAATAAAAAAACTCAAATTTACCCAACAGTTTATATGAGTTACAACCGGCTCAAATTCAGATCCAGGAGATGCTGGCAGTTTTAAGCCCTGGATGAGATGTCACCCAGAAGCCCAAGTGTAATCCACAGTGGACCTAATTGATTAGCAGCTCCTGACCACAAAGCCAGTAGTCTAATTAAGCTCTTACAGTTTGCCTCCACACACATTCAGCTTCACTGGATCTCCCTGTATAATACTATGCTAGAGCACAATGGAAAAAAGCAGCCTGCAGAGTTGGTTCTGCTATTAGCCAAAGAGACAGTTTGTCTGTAACACAACTGGTGAGAGATTGAACATATTTTTGTCGTAGATGCTCTTCTGAGTCTATATAAAAGCAGCATAAAATATAAATTGTTAAGGTCACAATGTGCCCTCCTTGGTATCTGCCTGTTCCTTGGAAACAAGTGGGAGGAGTTAATAGGTTGATGACTCAGTTGTTCTGTGTGTGGGTGTGTTAACAATCTTTGGGAGTGAACTTAGGTTTTTGACAATTAGCAGCTGTCTGTGAAGTGCTGTGCATTCTTGTAGTTGGAGCAGTTCCCATGTGCTCAAATGAACTATTGACCTCTGCCAGCTTTCCTGCAATGTGTGTCCTCAGACAGTTATACCTCTTTCCCAGTTAAAGGGTTCAACTTGGGTTAAATATGTGGAGTTCGGAAAAACATTTTGATTTTTTTTTTTTTATGTGCTTTTTAAACAACATCCGTCTATGGTAGAAAATGTACGCTTGTTATTCACATAGATATAGGCAAAAGCAAAGACTGGAAAAGTTTCTTCATGCCTAAGGCTTTTAGAAAGATTGGTTGGATGCATTCACTGGTTTCTGATATGCCTACGGACTTATTTTCACTGCTCAAAGGCTTTTGCAGTAGGACAAGATGTATTTCAGACCTTTAGCCAATGTACTTGGCTCTCTTGTGGACAGACATTTACAGCGTGTGGACAATTGACTCTTCTATTTACAGGAGATTCTCTCTTATCACAAGACTCTTTTCTGCATTCCATCTACTGTAGGTATTTGACTAAACATAACTCTGTATCTATAGTAGATTACTTAATATGGACAAGTGCTTCCAACAACCATTCAAAAGATAGCGTAGGGTGTGCATGGGGAAAGGAGAGTGAATGTTTTAAAAATACATCAAATAGAAGGGAACTGACACATTACCACTTAACACCTCCTGAATATTATAGACTGTGAACACCGGGCCCAGGTGTTACCAGAACCCACTGATGACCAGCATGTCAATCCAACAGTTGGGTGAAAACAAGTACACTGTATTGATACATATTTGTATTAGGGCCTAAGCTTGTCAAGATGATAACGTTATTGGATTATTGTACGACACATGAACATTAATTATTGTAATTATGGATTTAATACTAGATTTTCATTCCAGAATTGATGTTAATTGGCTTGGAAACAGTGATGGTCCTCAATCCTTTCAGCTCCTAAACCTCAACTATGAAGTTATTTGTAGTGTATGCATGATTTTGCAACCACAGAAATGTAGAGTTAATTGCATAACATAAAAACAAGAAAATGATTATCTGGAGTTTTTTTCTCTGCTTCTCGATATCACAAAAATGTGATACATTTGTTAATGAGAAATACCCAGCATTTCCACACAAAACTCACTTATCATTAGAAAGCCTCTTGTGACCCAGCCTAAGATGTCTGACCCTGTGGTGTGGAGCCACTATTTTGATTTGCGGTTGTGGAGCTATATTGTTTTCCCACACTGTCCACTCTCACAATTTGTCTGTTTTATTTGCAGTGACTAAAGGAGGGGCTTGGAAAAACTGTTGTGCAGCATGGAGAAAGAAGACCTGAAGGTCCTCAACAAAGGGGAAGAGGAGGAGCTGGTACGGCTCTCCATATCATTTTACATTCGTGAACATTTTGGAATTAGTGTTTTTCTTGCTTATAAGACTCCTCCCCCTTTTCTCCCTCCACCCTTTAGGAGCTGCAGGGGTACCGTCTTTGTCGTTGGCGGCTGGCCCTTGTGGGCCTCGGGGTGCTGTTCACAGGGGGCTTCCTCCTCTTGCTGCTCTACTGGATGCCAGAGTGGTGCGTCAAATCCACCTGCACCCGCACCACAGCCCGCGATGCTGAAGTGGTATTGCTGCGCTCCACGGTTGGTAGAATACACAGCTGCAATAGTTAATGAAATACTTGGAAATTTGATTTTGTTTCAGTCCTTGTAATTGTGAGTATTGGTATAAAAGAGCCTACGCTGTATAGAAAACAAGTGGTCCCTTTTCAAATTGCACTTTCATTTCAATCTCCATATTCAAATCCCAATTAAAAACCCACCTGTTCAAATCTGCTTACTCACTGTAGTGCTCCCCATTATATGTTTCATTTGTGTCCACTTGACTGTCTCTGTTTTTATCATGTTCTGTTGCCTATTAGCGGTTTCTTTTTTTTTTAACAAATTGTACTGTGTCATTGGGTGTCATGAAAGGGGCCTACAAATAAAATGTATTATTATTCATTTATTATTATTATACATCTATTTCAGTTATTTTAATAATAGAACAGTATCATGAGTCTATGCAGAATATTTAAACCTCCAGCTTTTAAAGCTGTGAATGTATACATTAATTATAGTATATGTTGTCTGAGCAGAGTAAATAGAGCCTGGCTGATCCTACTGAGTCACACCAGCAGACATACACAGATAATTTGCCATGTGTCAGCCCATGTGTTCATAACACCCATGTGTGTCATTTGTGTCTTTCCTATCTCGCTGTGTTGGTCTCTTTGAATGTGTCTGCATTTTTATTCCCTGTTAATATATTATATGTACCCAACCTATTCTGATCTATTGAAGAATGTTGCCACTGACAAACTCTTTTTCAATAAAATATATTAATATCGCAATACTTTGATCATTGGGCCATTGGCTAAATCCCCATTGTATTAACCCATTTGACAATAAATGTTGACTTAGGAGACATACATAGTGTCTTCACCAAATGCAGATCAGTATTTGAAGATGTATAAATAAGGATTGATGCTATGTCTGGCTACCTTATGTTCTTTAGTGATGCTGCCTTTATGGAAATGACCTACTGTAAGTTCAGCAGAACATGTAGGTCAATTTGTAATAAAAAGTCCATTACAACAACCTTATCTGTATTTGTTTGACCAGGATGAGTTCCGGCGCTGGTTCCTGGCCAGGGTACGAGTGATGCTGGCCCCGGGAAGGAACCCCTTCCACTGTCTGGAGACCCAGACCACCTCCCCTTCCTCTCCCTCCTGCCCCTTCTCCTCCCCCCCTCTGGCCAATGGACACACCCCCCACCCCTCCGATGGCAACCCCGACCAGGAGCTCATCAGAAGATATGGCGACTACCAGCCCACACAGGTAGGCTCAAACTCCACAGTATACAGTATGTACACACCGATGATGGAAACCATAAACTGGCTGCCAAGCACCTATCAGTGTTTGTTTTTCCACAGTTGATCAAATTATTACAACGCTTTAATAATGTTTAATCACATTCTATATTCATAGTGATGCTGCAAATTGTCAAAAATATGTTACATAAAACTGAATTCTGCCTTACCCTTCTCTTTCATGCACATTTACTTATTGCCTTTTAGCATGTGGACAGCAATACAGTAAAAGTAACATGTATCCCTTCTCCCTGCTTTTCCCTCTTGTATTTCCCTTTGCTAGATCCGCTACTTTACCTTCCATAGCACAACGTATTATTGGAGCGACGAGGTGCAGAACTTTGGTGTTTTAACGTAAGCATTCTTTGGATATTTACAGAAATGCTATGGTCATTTTTTTATTCCAGTTTGTAGGCTCCACTGCTTCTGAAAACTCCTCCCTTAGAGTAAGCTAAATTGAAAGCAGATTAATTATAACTCCATCTGTAATTATGTTTTAACTTGTAAAGACCAATACATTAACATCTGAAATCCTTAACCTTTTACAACTGCAGTAATTATTAGACTTGCATTGCTTGCACCATTATGTGTAATTCAAAGTCTTGACTTTTGCCCCCCTGCGTTGACCCCTACAGCGGCCTGGAGGATTTGCAGGTCAGCTGCTCCACCCTCCACTCGGAGCACATTGCAGGCCTGACCAGGAACCAGCAGGAGTACAGGTAAAGCTCACCTGTCTGAAGGATAGGTGGCACTAACTAACTGTAGTCAGACATTATAGAGCTCACATATTACTATGTTTATGCTTGCATGTGTGTTTGAGTATGTGGTTATGTTTTGATAAGAAGGTGGTGTTTACAACACTTAGCTCATTAATGTCTCTTTCACCTCTTGTCAGGAGACTGTTCTTCGGAGTGAATGAAATTGCAGTGAAAGTGCCTTCTGTTTTCAAGCTGCTTATCAAAGAGGTAAGGCCCGGTTTGCCTTCACACAGGCAGCACGTCTTTGACTCGAAGTTTGAATTGTCTTGAATTAAAGACTCCTTGTCGACTTTTGTGTGCCCAGATATTAAAGTTACAATGTTGTGAATTTATCTCTGCATTTCAGTTCCTTCAAACAATTAAATACCACACTAACCAATATTTTCCCAGCTAGTAGATAAAGAGACCTTTCTAGTTTTGTGCATTCTTTTTAAGGAAACTGTTTTGGATAACTACTTGCTGTATTTCTATAAGACGAGTTTAGTTTCAGTATGTAATAGATGCGTTGATAAATACTACACTACCGCCCCGTGCAGGCAACACAATGAACAAAAGGGGGACATCTCATCCCCTTACACATTAAACTTGTGTACAGTGTGTAACATATCTAAAGCTACATAAATAAATATATGCACATCTTGTAAATGAGAACTTATGCTGACATATGGGAACTTGTTTTAATCTTCTTTTTCCCTCTCGTTGTCAAGGAAACATCTTGATTAAATCCTCAAGTAGACATCTCTGTCTTTGAATAACCTCACTTATCTCTCTGTCTCCCTCCTGCAGGTCCTAAACCCTTTCTACATCTTCCAGCTCTTTAGTGTGATCCTGTGGAGTGCCGATGAGTATTACTATTATGCTGTGGCCATCCTTTTCATGTCGATCATATCCATAGCTACCTCTCTGTACACCATTAAAAAGGTGAGCTCCACAAATCTTGAGACTTTCAATAAATTCAGAGACATTTATCTGGCCTCACATCTGGCTACATAGTATACTCGGGTAAATATGCGAATCCAAAAGATGTCTAAAGTCTGTCTTCTTTGTTCTTTTATTCCAGCAATACATCATGCTCCACGACATGGTGGCAACTCACAGTGTTGTCCGTGTGTCTGTATGCCGACCCAACAATGGTTTGTACCTTTCTGTTTCCCTTCTTTTCTTCTGTTGTTTTTTTGTTGCAGATGGTCATTTAAATAGTAGTACATCACATTTATTTTCTATTCCCTCCAAACGTAACCTCGCAGTATTTGTTTTGCTTGTGTGCTAGCCCAGACTCAATTACACAGTCCCATTGGCTGTGTTTCAGATTGCTGCTAGTATGGGACAACGCAGGTCTAAAGAGAGATAGGTTGTATTGTAGATAGCGGGAAATGCATTCATTTTGAAGCACTCTTTAATAGTTCTGCACATCATATTATAGGTCTGTGTGGGTTATAGTATCTGCTGAAGAGATGCACAAGCTTTGACATTCTCATCCAGTGTCCTATCAGCTGTAGCCAATTAAAATGCCAAGATTTGGCCAAAGGACAACATTAGACTCATGCTCAGAATCAGTTGGAAAACATTGCCGTGGGAGTCTGAACACTCATATACTTTTATGTATGCATCCATTTACTGCACTGGCCCCCGATTGGGATGCCTCAGCTTTTTCCTGCTGCCTTCCTAGGCATGAGTAATGAGAGAAATGCTGAACAAGGCTCTGGGGCTCCGACACACAAAATGTCTCCTTTCTACCCCCCACATCCTCCATCTGCTGTTGTTGAATTACATTTTCACCTTTCTCCACACTCCTCATTTAACTGTCTCCTATTTGTTTTTTCCACTCCTCCCCTGTACCCCCCTCCCCCCTTCCCGACAGAAATTGAAGAGATTTTGTCTACTGATCTGGTGCCCGGTGATGTGATGGTCATCCCCATCAATGGGACCATCATGCCATGTGACGCCGTGCTGGTCAGCGGCACCTGCATCGTCAATGAAAGCATGCTCACAGGTTAGAGGCGACATCTGAACATTTAAGAAACTCAGGAGAGAGCGCGGCTGTTGGCTTAACAACCGACCATAGGAGACTCTAAACAGCCAACAGCTCTTCTTGTTAATTTTCCAGCTGCCAGTGCTAATATCAGTCTAACCTCTAATTAGGTGAGAGTGTTCCTGTGACAAAGACCAACCTGCCAGACCCATTGCCTGGGGACAGGGGGGAGGATAATGACAGTGTCTTCAACACAGAGGAGCATAAGAGACACACACTCTTCTGTGGCACCCACGTCATCCAGACCCGCTTCTACACAGGCGACCTGGTCAAGGCTGTGGTGGTCTGCACAGGTGTGTGTGTGTGTGTGTGTGGTAGAAACGTTGGATCTAAAACAGTGTGAAATTCAAAAGTGGTTTTATTTTTTCTAAATACCTGCTCAGCCCATGTGTGTGGTCTTTATTCTCTTGCTGGAGATGCTACTTCCATAGAGTAAGCTGTACTTAGATTCTTGACTGAAATACAAGGGTTTCATTCGTTGTCTAAATAAAGAAATCACAGGTTCTACTGCCATTTGTTTAAAGATCAACACAGCCTCTCTGAGGTTAGGAATATCCCTCTTATTCAGGGAGCCCCCTTATTAGGTGCTCTGCAGTTTAATCCTTGTTCGTCACAGTTTAGAGACCCTTTCTGAAAGGAGTGTAAGATCGAATATTTGAAAAATTCTCATAAAAACGTCTTTACCCAGGTTTCAGCACAGCCAAAGGCCAGCTGGTGCGCTCCATCCTTTACCCAAAACCCACCGACTTCAAGCTGTACCGAGATGCCTACCTCTTCCTCTTGTGTCTGGTGGCTATAGCTGGAATTGGCTTTGTCTACTCCATCGTCCTCAGCATCTTGAACAAGGTAATCATTGTTACCTGTTTTTTTACAGAAGTAAAAGAGTGGGTGAAAATGTAAGGGCAACTGCAAGAAAATCACATACTTTCCTATAGAAGATTCACTGGCTCTGTGAAATTAAGAATGATGTCCTGTGTCAAGCCCTTCATCCCCTCTGTGCAACATTGTGCTCAACATGAAACTGTATTTTATAAATGTCTGAATCACTGAGTTCCAGAGGTGGGACCAAGTCATTGTTTTACAAGTCACAAGTAAGTCTCAAGTCAAGTCTCAAGTCAGGATGGGCAAATTCAAGTCAAGTCCAAGTCCTAAACTTTGACAAAACGAGTCTTAAACAAGTCCTTATGTGCTTTTCACCAAACGTAATGACATCGATCAACAGAATAATACTTAATAATCAAACTGCTCTTTATTAGTCACATTAATAATTTAATAATACATTTTCTCTCTGCTGGTAACGTCTTTTTTTCGAATTTAAGAAGGATCAGTAAGGCTACCGTGACGGTTTGATTCAGAAGGAGTTTAATGTATAAGATCCCTGATGTTAAGGTGACTAATGTTTATTTCCACTGTGTACAACATGTTATAAGCAGTGGTGTAGTGGGGATTTTTTTACTGGGTGGTCGGGGCGGGTGGACAGGGGGAGAGACACTATGAACTGTCAATGGGGGGGAGGGGGTATACTTTGGACCTCTGTCGTCTGTCAGCGCAACTTACATGACGGTGCAGGTGTTGTGTCAAATGATGCACCCCCATCATGAAATGCACCCCTTGTCACGGGAACGCGCATTTCTAAATGACACGTTTACACCTTAAAACGATGTTTAAAACGAAAAGTAAACGTTCAGGGTTTTTATTAATGGTAATTTTCAGACTGTGAGTTGTTTAGTGGTNCTACCGTGACGGTTTGATTCAGAAGGAGAAGATCCCTGATGTTGAAGTGACCAGAATGTTTATTTCCACTGTGTACAACATGTTATAAGAGACCCACCATCTATCTTTATGTAAGGGCTAATGTGCAGCGAGGCGTCTCTATGGGGAAAAGAACACCTGAATCTAGATCCCTCTGCAGGTGGTACTTTCACTATATTTTGATGCTAATGCTTTTACTTGTAACATTTTGAATGCAGGACTTTTTATTGTAACCGAGTATTCCTACACTCTGGTACTTTTACTCAAGTACAAGATCTGAACTTCTCCCACCTCTGTCAATAAATCCTGATTGGTTACCAAAAAAAAACCCTGCTCTGAAGGTTATTTTCATTTTACAAATCCTGCACTCAGCTTTGCTTTCTCCAATATCATTGAAATGCAGCCAGATGCTGCTTCTTTTTTTGGTTTTTGCTAATTTTTTGACCTTTTCCGACGCGCTAGCATTTAAATCCGTCTCCCCGTGGCTCGGTGTTGCTGGCCTGTACCACTACACTTGGTGTCTTTGGAGCGTCTGCCCGCCACCCTTCTTTCACATAATGGTATGATCCTAGTGTGTCCTCGCATATGATTGGCCGCATGGTGGCCCAGCAAAATAAAGTCCCGCCCCTGCCTGCATGGATTTACAGCAGCAAGAGTAGGACCAGCTGAAGATTCTGCTCTCCCAGACGGGAGTCTGCTCTTCTACCGGCAGCTCGCGATTGGCATGTTTGAGACCCCTGAATTAAAGTATCAAGTCACCTCAAGCCAGAGGGCTCAAGTCCAAGTCGAGTCGCAAGTGTTTTGTGATTTTGTGAAGTCAAGTCCAAAGTCATCAAATTGGTGACTCGAGTCCAAGTCATGTGACTCGAGTTCACACCTCTGCTTAGTTCTATAAAACATGAATGGTTTGAGACATCAGTTTTCCTGTCTCCCTATCGCTTGTTGGATTACAGCAGAATAAGCATCAGCATGTTGATTTATAGCTGGAGAGTTTTCTGATCAATGTGAATATCAACCATTTCAAAGTGCCCTTACTCTGTCCTTTCTGCCCTCCCCCAGGTGCCAGCTAAAACCATCATTATTGAGTCTCTGGACATCATCACCATTACTGTGCCCCCGGCGCTGCCAGCCGCCATGACAGCTGGCATTGTGTACGCCCAGCGACGCCTCAAAAACCTGGGCATTTTTTGCATCAGCCCACAAAGGATCAACATCTGCGGTCAACTCAATCTGGTCTGCTTTGACAAGGTGAGTACCTCTGGTTGTATAACTGGTAGTAGTCAGCTCTAACTTTACATATCAACTAGAAAAGTACACCACCTGAAAATAAACAAAATATGAAGAAATAGAGATATTTGTACCTCTACTATAGTTTCTTATATTGGATTTGATTCCATGTAACTCAGTTCAATTAAACGTTCTTCCTGCTTACAGACTGGAACTCTGACAGAAGATGGATTAGACCTATGGGGAGTTCAGAGGGTTGAGAACGGCAGGTAAGCTGATCTGGTTATCTAACAGGAAACTGCCACTGTTTCGTTGCCTTTCAGCTGCATCCAAAATATTCAAACCCCAAAGAAATCATTATCTTAAAGGTTTTAGAAAGAAGTCATTCTCTTAGTTAGCCATTGATGAACTTGTATGGATTTGCTGATCACCTGGTGGGAGGATTCAGAATCCACAGTTTTTTTGAAGGTCTCTTTTTAACCTCATGTTTCTTCTGCCTCCAGTTTCCACCTGTCAGAGGAAAATGCATACAAGGAAAATCTGGTCAAGTCCCAGTTTGTGGCATGTATGGCCACCTGCCACTCTCTCACCAAGATAGAGGGCCAGCTGTCCGGAGACCCACTGGACCTTAAGATGTTTGAGGCCACAGGCTGGGTGAGTGGTTCTGAATCCATCCTAAAGCATGAGGATGGTCAGGGCAACACAGTGGGAAGGAGATAAGTAATAGCATCTTTCAAAGGGTGTATGAGGGCAAATAGCCTTTTGAGTCAGGCTGACAGTGTGCAACAGAAAGAATAAGATGGAATAAAAAATATATCTATAAGACAGACATTTTTCTCATCTTTTTTTGTTTTATAAACTTTTGTCTACACAGATCCTGGAGGAGGCCACTGAGGAGGAAACATCTCTCCACAACCGTATCATGCCCACTGTGGTTAAACCCCCAAAACAGCTGCTGCCCCCAGAGCCTGCCGTAACACCAGAGCAGGACATGGTACGGAATTTAACCCAGTTGTTCAGAAAGATGACCACAGTTCCTCAATATATGGGAAATGTCTAAAACGGTATAAAGCTGATGATATTATAAAAAAACGATAGCTTTAGTGTGGTCTTTTTTTTTTTTATATGTGATAAAAGAGTGTCTTACTCCACAGTATTTTGGCTATAAATAAAACCAGCATTTTTATGTTGCCTTAATCAGGGTGTCCGCGGGGTCTTAAAAAGTATTAAAAGTTGATAAATCAATTTAGCGAAAATTAAGGCTATTAAAAAGTATTAAACGGCATTTTCCAAGGTATTAAGAAGGTTCACAGCAACGACTACATGAAACACCCTTTAATTTACTGAAACGACATGTCGGGAAACCCCCCAAGGCGGCCCCATGCATAGCGCGCCGTAAAATGCTGCTTCTTATTTTAAGTTTCGTTGCCTTGCTCCGCTCTGGGGGGGCACTAAACGACTACGGTAACGGTAACGGGTCCCAAGGTGGGTAGATCAGCATACGCAACGCTCTGGGGTCCAACAGCT